TTGTGGAAGAGTTCAAGGTCGCGAAAGATAGACGGGTTCCACTTTGATTTGCGATGTTTGACATGTTTATATTTAACGTTTAGTTTTATAGTTTTACTATGTTATAACTTTGGATAATGTATTTTTGGTACCTTTGAAATATATAGTATACTAGTTCCGGCCCCTACGGTTAGAAGGTTTGTGTTCCGCCCCTGATGTGTACTCGATTCACTTACGTTCTAATGCGTACAAGTTTCACTCATCCCCTCTTAACTAACTTTCAGATTTTACTCCATTTTCACATCAAACAGTTCGATTTAATTTTATTTTTATTTATAGTTTATGTATATTATAACTTTAGGTTCTCAATCTGTGTGAATTTATTTGATTTGAAAATTAAAGTTGTTAATTTTTTTTATGACATATGATCTAATATGTATCGACATCTTTTGTTCCACTAAACTGTATGATTCTTAAAAATATTTTTCACGTGAATCGAATAAATTTTCTCGAAGTTGTGTCTTTTGCTTAAGACATGAGAGGAACAAGTTTGTCCTTAGATTATAGGTCTCACTTGATGCGAGTAAAAACAAAGTATGTGACCCACAAAATAAAGACAAGGTAAAAGTGAAGCGAAACCTTTTTTTTTTTTTGTGTGTGTATATATATATATATATACACACACACGTGTGTGTGTGTATATACATATATGTGTGTGTGTGTATATGTGTGATTTAGTATGAAAGTGAAAACAATTTGGATTTTATTTATTTAACTATTACGTACAGTCTTTTTCAAAGACAACATTAATAGGTCTAAAGAAACCAACATCGTTGCATCCTTACGTTATTCAAGACATTGACAAACACCATACTTTCATTAAGTATTTCGATTTTCACAAGATATCGATAAGAAAAATATCACAAGTTCTATAAAACGAAATTTTAAAAAAAATTTAGTCATAAATTAATTGCTTTCAGAAAAGGTTTGATCCTAACAAGAGTAGCATGGTCCTTAATGATCCAAATTGTGAAGCTATGATGAACTTATGCCTGGCAAGCTTAATTGGTCTTTACTGGTATCCATTTTTTTTTGTTTTTTCTTATAGATAGTCCACTCGTGTTTCTACAAAAATTTGGATGCTCAAACCTTCATAAATTGGATTTTGATCAAGCTCGATATTCACACCTCAGTTTGACATTTTTTTCATCTGTTCTAGATCTCTATTGTTTAACTGAATTGGACCTGAAAAGTTGGAATGGACCCATAACCGATCCTTCTAGATCTGATCCTATTTATTATTGGACTTTTATGTATCTCTATTTTGTACGATCTACTTATCTACAAATTTGTAAACACAAGTACTAGTTCCTTTCCTATACTTTAAGAACGATTTCATTATGTTTTTTTTCCCACATTTTCCGTTTCACTTTTATGTCTTGCTTTACAGAAAATAAAACCCAAAATCTTATATAGGCTTTGGATCATGTAAGATCAGACCATTTTCGTGAGATCACCTTTTTATATTTGAAACTTCACAACAAAACACTGTGAAGATAACCTTCACAATGTTTTTGTTGTGAAGGTTCAGTCTTTTTTACCTTCACAAATGTTATATTGTGAAGTTTCAAGTGTAAAGATGTGGTCTCACGAGAACAAGTTGGTCTCATGTGAACCCAACCCTATATGGCTATATGTGTGTGTATGCGGATGATCATGTAAGAAGAAGAGTTAAAGCGAGAATCGTAAGAAGGATTATAGACTCTTGATCACCTTTAATCTCAAACTCACTTATGAATCACGCTTGATACGATGATTGATCACGTGCATCTCTTACACTTCTCACCATAACACCAGAACCCAAGTTCCCTTCTCACAACATCCCTGGACTATACAGATAATTTTTTTTTTTAAATTACAAAATAAAAATAGAAAATAAAGAAAAGAAGATTCTTTAGTAAAAAAGAAAAGAAACAAAGAGAAGAAAGAAAATGTAGGCCCATTGCTTTATAACATTGACCAACAAAATTTGACCCAAGATTCAGCCCAACTATGTCGGTTGTTACTTGTTTCCATAAACCAATAAAAGGCAAGTATTCATCAAAATAACTACTTATAGTACCTTATAATATTATAAAACATTTGACAAAAACTATTAAAAATATTTTTTATGCATAAAATACTGTTTATAAATGCATATTACTTTAAAATTCAAGATTACAAGTAAATTATGCATAAGTACATCATATTAAAGCTCTATGTTTGAATTCGTGTAACTAACTTGCGGATAAACATAATCAAATAGAGGATAAACATCTCATTTTAAAATCTAAAAAATCTAAAATATAATTAGGATAATTATTCAGTTCTAACAG